TAATCAAATGAGACCAACGTTTTTTACTTGCATGTTGATGTCTTGTTTGATGAATTTTATTTAACATTTGTTTGCACAATAACTGTCCATAACTATTGAAAAGGAACTTGCTTGTGTGGATTTTTGCACATATCACCCATCTCTGTTGATATTCACATTTGACACAGCCATAGACAACCATTAAAAAAATGAATTTAGGAGTTGCATCTTTTGTCGTATACTTGGGCTCCAGTGAGATATTGAACTCCATCCAGCCTTGCTTGGAGAAGACAAGTTGGGTGCTTTTTCCATATACAGGCATAGTATTTACTTCACTTGATGTGTTCCCACAGGGTATCTTTTGATGGTAGTAGAGAGTCATTTGTAGCTTGTTTTTTTTTTTTTACACAGCTGTTGACAACATAGTCCATTGATGTCTGCCAAATGTTGCTTCCTGTGACAACTCCACAAGTAAACTCCTTGGCCTTCAGGGCACCCTAACTGATCTCTGTAAAGCTATCAGGCTTTTCCATGGATTAGAATGTATCTTTGTTTCCTTTGGAGTTTCCATAGTTACTTTGCCAACAGATGGAATTGCAGTGATTAAGTCAAACCCTGTTGAGGTATGAAGACTGGAAGGAACCGAGTTTTTGTACAAGTAATGCTACAATTCTGTGAACAAGTGAATTTGTCTTTGATGCCTGTTTAGAATAAAAGTTGTTTTGCCCAAAATGTATGAATTTCTGGATAGTTATATGCTGACAGAATGAAGATACTTGTATCAGTATTTCCTTATTAGTGATAACCTTGCTCATAGATAGCTCATAATAGCCACCAACTAGCACAATGTTATTCAGCTTCAGTGGAATTGATTTCCCCCCCACTCAGATGTTAGAACTGCACCACATTTGTCTTGCATTTGCTGCATGTGAAATTTAGTCAATGTCTTGGTAAAGGTCTGTGGTCCAAGTAATGTAATCTCTATTCTGGAAGATTTACATCTTGCATGCCCCCTCTCTTTTCATGGATGACATCTGGTCAAATACATCATTTCTAATGGATGTAGAACCAACTTTGATACAATTTCAGCCAATTGCCCAAAGTTTTGAGTTCTTAAACATAGGGCCACCTGGATGAGGACCATGTCATCAATCATCTAGGCTGAATCATCTTCAGTGGGAGGAAGTTTTGAACTAGCTGGGACATTTTTCCCTCACTTAAGTTTTTTTTTTTTTTATCTGTTATTTTCTTCAAACTTCCATCTGTTATTTAAAGCAAAAGAGGTAAAACAGTCAACTTATAACGAAATAAATCTTAGATCAATTTCCTTTGTACAAATAATAAATAGCAGCTTGCTAAAGAATTCACAGTCCGAGTTGATTATTTACATCTTGTCAGCAGGTGTTCCAATCTAACAGCCTTTGTGAACTTCAAAAGTTTATAAAGCTTTCCTTATGGGTGGGTCAGCAAAATCTATACAAATATAATAGTACTGACTGTTCTATGTCCATGTAACTACTTCACAGGGTGTGGATGGACCTTCACCAAATTTAGTATGGAGGTTTATTGGGTCCATGAGAAGATAGATGCAAGTTTTCAGTTTTGCATTTTGCAGTTCTTATGAGCATTTTTGCAATTCTTACCACTATTTTGCCCCCTGATAATGGATCTTTACCAAATTTTGGAATAAAGGTTTGTTGGGTCCATGCAGAGATGTATGCAAACTTGCAGTTTCACATTGTATTTTGCAGTTTCTATGGGCATTTTTTTCAGTTACATATAAAAGAAGCAACTTTATGTCTAAAGATAACTTTTCATTAATCATGAATTTACATAACTTTCATCCAGTGGATGGGTACTCCAACTAGCTTGGAATATATTGTGATTCAGAGCTGAAAAAAAAACTGTTGTGACTCTAAACATGTTTTGGGCAATCCAGTAAATCTTGAATCACTACTAAGGATGCAAGCAACCAAGTTATATTCATCAGCTGTTTGTTTTCAATGGCCTGGAAATCATATGGGTTGATTATTTATTCTCTAGAAGTTGTTATACATCTATTCTTTGCAACAAGTGAGAGCTGAATCAGAACCACATATGTCCATCAGTCCACAAATTTCTCAGACAGCCTGTAATGATCTATTTATTATAAGTGGTCAAAAATCACCACTGGATGGAAGATAACTTTGTACTTACCCCTAGACTACTAATCCTCTTGGCATTTTGCTTTTATGATTAATATTTAATCACGAAAGTTTTTTTGTTTTAACTCTGTCATCTAGAGGGGCAATATCTACAACTACAACACAATATTTCCTGTAATTTACAACATGAGTGAGACTTTAAATAGAACACTCTGTGTAACTGTTTTCATTACAATGAATATCTTAATTAATGCTGATTTGATTCCACTCAATAACCCTGGTTTTTAAGTACAAAATATTACACCAACACATCAGTTGTTTTGTTAATAGCTAATCTGTTTCCAAATAGGCTCTAACTAACCACAACTGCCATAATAATAATTGATAAAAGATAATATTAATCTTTGTATAAACACAAGTTTTACTCATTACCACATAACAATGCTAGATTAAACCAGCAAAAAAACTGAACTGTTCAGTTTTTTGTTAAAGTATAGGTTTTTATAAACAGAATACAATCACAATCCTTGAAAATATCTCTCCAAGCATTAATGGTGAAAATAATTAAATTACATTTTGCACAAAACTTCTTTTTTTGATGTGCATAGGTACATTGGTTGATTAATTAAATGCATGCACATTTCAAAATTTAGCCAGTAAGTTAAATCAGTCTAGTAAATTAAAACCAAAACAGAATTTAGTGACTTTTTAAAAATATTGGGACAAGATACCTAAAAAAATACACAAATTAATTGCTTCATGTATTCCTGTTCATGTTATAAACCTCTTTAGAAAATTACACACTTAAAAACTAGTTATTTGACCACTTAGCTATATTTTATACTGTTACTTGTGATACAATTGAAGAGGATGAAAGCCTGAAACCCAGTTCATGTTTGAGATGTATATAATTTTACACTGGGTGGTCTTGTTGAATGGTGGAATAAATAGGTTATATATACAAGTTTCAATTTCAATAGTGATAGGTTTAAGCTATGGGCTTTGTACCTCTACAAAATAGTAGTTTACCAGTTACAAGTTATCAGTTTCTGATATGGTTTACTTGACTATGTGCAGTTTGAATTAAACTTCTGTTTGAAACTATATCAACATACACAACTAAAGATTTGTTTAATGGTGTTTTGGTTGGTTTACTGTAGTTGCAAGAGTAGCAGCCTTGTTGGGCTGAACGGTCTTTTAGCAACTGGGTATTTCTAGGCCAAGGCTTGTATAAAATATTATACAGTAATCTCTTTCAAAAAATCATACATAGCTTTTAAAATGTATGTAAATTAATAACTTGACATAAAATTACTTCCAAGAAAAACATATCGCTATTATTAAATGCAAAATTGCATATAAATACAACAAATTAAGAACTACATCTTGATTACACAGAGATACATTTCTTGTGAGCCTAGGCAGATTCTTTTCCTTGACGAGAGTACTGTGGTTTCTGTTTTATTTGGTTTTAAATAAACTACTTAAATTCTGCTTGCCTGTCAGATTTTCTTTGTTATGAGAGTAAAAATATCACAAGGACACAAATTTGTATGGAAAGACCAGACAATGTTAAAATAGATTAACATACCCTTTGTTATTATCTACAGTATGTAAAAGGATTATTGGTAAAGATATTCTAACTGTTGAAAATGTTAAATTTCTATTCTCACAAATGTTCACATATACAGTTTCATAAGAACCTACCTTCAAATTAAGACAACATATACAACAGAATTTAATGAATTTAAAATTTAAACTTTGTGCCATATTCTAATATAAGTGTAATTATTACTCATCTAAACTTTGCCTCACAGAATGAAAAGTAATTAAATCTAGTTATTATAGTTACTTGTTATTGCCAGCACTTCATACCTAGTTTACCCTATAGAAACAGACAGTTTCCTGTCTACATCAAAACTTTTTCACTACATTTAAGCACAAAATCAAATGGTTATCTTTACTTACAATACATAAACTCACTCAGATCTCTATAGTGTGCATTTTTTCTGTACTCATGCTCAACATTACAGAAGTTGATAAAAACACATGTAATTCCCTACAATATTTTTTGTGTTCGCTCAAAGTACAAATTGATTACTTACTTCTAATCTATACAATAATTTTATTTTGAATTCCTGAACTACATCTCAAGATAAGACAGAAAATGTTAATACCTGTTTAGAAATCCTATACAAATTGATTACTTACTTCTAATCTATACAATAATTTTATTTTGAATTCCTGAACTACATCTCAAGATAAGACAGAAAATGTTAATACCTGTTTAGAAATCCTATACAAATTGATTACTTACTTCTAATCTATACAATAATTTTATTTTGAATTCCTGAACTAAATCTCAAGATAAGACAGAAAATGTTAATACCTGTTTAGAAATCCTATTTTTCTAATACGTACACAATGAAAAATGTTTCGTTATTGCATAGTAGCAATTACGCAATTATACAATGTATAATAGTTAAGTTCAGTACATGTAATTTCACAGAATACAGGGACAATTATGCACTGTACATGTACATGCAATATTATAACACTATACATGCATATATTAGTTACTATAAAGCATGCATGTCACATGTAGAGGTGGTTTGTGTGAATTAACTCTTGATGCAATGTGCTCAAGATGCTTCCTTGTAGTTTCTTTACCATATACATCCATCAAGAAACAGGTTATCTAGCTTGAATATGTTGATCATACATTTAAACACTTAAGTAAGTAGCTTACACAATTTTTACTGTAACCAAACCAAGTAAAAAAAGTCTGCACATCCACTAACAAGCACACACAAACACAATATTAAGTTCTGATGTACAGAACAAAGTCCAGTAGCCTTTTCAAAGCTTTGTACATACCAGGTAAGTAAATCAATTCATGAAGCAGAAGTCTAATGTAGCCCATTTCATTGGGTTTCATTGATGTTCCATCTAGAAAAATTTGTAAAGTTCATCATCCTCATTCTTTTACACTTTCATATGAATATGCTGCATTTGTAAACTTTGGCTCCTAATACAATTAAAGACAATTTTTGATCATTTCAATTAATACTTTGAGAACAATTTAAAGAACACGTACTTTCTAGCTCATTAAAATTCAACTTCGTATTGCATGTACTTCATATACCACTACATATTTTATCTGAGATCCCCAATCTACACTGTATATCAGTCAAAGTAACCAAATTTTTGACAAGATTGTATACACAGATCTATTTTATCTTAAAAATTAGAAGTTACATAATGCTGTTACCAATAGAGGACTGTCAACATTACAGTCATTATTCAAGTAGTATCTCAATGAAATACATAGAAAAAAAAATTAATTTTTACACCAATTTCAGGTCAATGCAACCAAGAGAAACAAAATGGCAGGTGTTTATATTTTGTCTGGAGGGTGCTGTTATGTACAAAACGATTTTCTCATATTGTAGCTGGACAATCACTAGAATTTGATAATTGATTAGTTATTGGGATCAAATAGATTTCATTCAAGTAATAGGTTATTCTCATAAGAATTAAATAGTTGGAATAATAGAAAATAGTTTAAATTAGCAACACCAATTTTGATTAGCTGATTATTTTTGTGACAGTAATTGATTTAATTACAATTTTAACCAATTATTTTGCATTTCTAGCGGATTTAATTGATGCTTAAAATCATAGGCAATTGATTTAATCATCCAGCTCTAGTCCAAACTCACTTTTTACAGTCATAGTAATATATAATTTTGCCAAATTATGCTTACATAGGTTTCTTACAATATTTCAACCTCTCTTCATCTTGCATTACTTTTTTTTGTTAAGAATTAGATCAAACACACAAGATTTTGGATTTGGCATCATGGCAAATGAGGAAGAAATTCTAATGTTTTCTTCTTTTCAGTAGTACATTTTTTTTTTCAAAATATGGTAAGACAAAATATGCAAGTAGAATAAAAATCTACATGAAATTACCTTATAGTTAGAAATATAAAATATACTAAAATTATTTTTTTTATAATCATCTTACTTGCATATGCAGAAACTTTTTTTCAAACAACAGCACCTTTTCTGGATAAAATGTAAACATTGATCATTTGTTCCCATTGATCTGAAATTAGTGTAAAACATCCACATTTTTTCTACGTACATACTACTTGAATATTAACCTGATACAGTTTTGATCACTAATCTTGATAGCCCTTTCAGTTTCAACAGAAAACAAATTAAGAAAAGTTAAGACCAATAAAAAAAAAAGTGAGTGGTAAAAGTTGAAGCAATTTTTTTTAACGTTTATCAAAGCAAAAAAAATGAGTGTAATGCACAAAATATTTCAGTAAGATTGTAACCAAGTTTAAAAATATGACTACAAGTAAATTACACCAATTAAATAATCATGGTAAAATAATTCAACTAATGTCATTTCCCATTTACACAGGAACTGAAAACAACAAGACAGAAGGCTCACACAGTTGTATTTGTTGTTTGACTTAAAATTAATACAAGTCTGGTACCTCCTTTGTTATAAAATGTGATAATTTAATATACAAAAACAATATACAGTCGGGGGGGGGGCAAAATCCAACTGTATCATCAGCAATCATAACTTTAATTTCATAATTAGGAAGTTAAAATCTGCAAGTACTGGAAAATATTGTGAAAGGGAAAATCTTTCTGATGTGATACATCAATTATTGATACAATTACATCTAGTTTAATGAAAACATTTCAGCAAGGAGGCTTTGAAATATGATTCATATGTATTAAACACAATAACAAAAAACATATAAACTTTTAAGATATA